TAAATAAAAATAAACCACATGAGAGGCTTGCATAGGTAATATGCAAATACTATATCATTTTATATAAGAAATTTGAGCATCCATGGAGTTTGGTATGGGGGAGTGGGAGAGATGCAGTGGAGAGTCACAACTGATACCCCATGGATACTGAGAGATGACTGCATTTTTAGAGATTCTAATGTAAATACATTTCGAAGGCTTCTCCTTTCATTCAGTCCAACCTCTTCCCTTGGTCTCCATGACATCATCTTTTCCTGGGTCTTTCTATTACCTAAATACATTTTGCAGTTCCTATTTCTCTGCCTAATCCTGAGGTGGTGATAAGTCACCACTCCTCAATTCTCATTTTACATATTCTCCCGAGGTAATTCTATTTCACACATTTTCCCTAGATGAATCTCAAATCTATATCTTAAGTAAAGACACCTATCCTGAGCTACAGATTATTATTTTCAATTGCCTAAAGGGTAGCTTCACTTTTGTCCTTGTACTGGTCCTTCCAACTCAAAATGCCCAGAATAGACAATCATAATCTCCATCTATTCCTTTCCCTTCCTTTCCTAAGTAGAAATTTCAGCACCGTTCCTTCTCTTTTCTTGTTTAATAAATTCAACTGGTCGAGTTCCTATGGATTCTATATTCAAATCAACATTTTAGTATGTCCCTTCCTTCCATCTCTACTGCATCATCCATGTAACAGACTTTTCATTGCTGCAGCCTAGCTCAGCTTGTTGGTTTATGCTAGTTCTCTGTCTTGCAGTATATCCATTACCAGATGTCTTTAAAAATAAAGACACGAACATTCGTTCAACTGCTTATAATTGTATGTAGTTCACAGAACAATATATAGTTTCCATTACATGACATAGAAAGTCTTTCAGAACTTGTCTGTTGCCTCTTTTATTACCCCACACTCAGTTGCTTCTCTGATGTGCTGTACTACTTGCTATTTCCAAACATACCAAACACTTGCACATAGCCATGCCTTTCTTCATTCCTTTGGCCCCAAATGCTTTTCGTTCCCTTTTCCTCAGGGCATCAGTAGACTGGGATTCTAATCCCAGCTTTGCTATTCGTGAGTTGCATATTTTGAAGAAAGTAATTAACATCTCAGCCCATTTCCTATGTTACCTGTAAAATTGCTTTCTCCCACAGTCATAATGAGCATTCAATTAAGAATACACTGAGTTTATCATTGCTCCTGGAAATAACTGCTTGCTCTGAATATTTATTTATTTTGTAAATGTACATGCATGTACTTTTAAGTTTCATTCACATCATAAAATAAGCCCTGCAATCATTCACATCAGCTAGAATCATGTTCTATCACGTACTAGCTTAGTATTCTTGGCCAAACCACTCTACCCCTCTGAGTTTCAATTTATTTATTTTATAAATCATGTCTACTACAAGAATTTAGTTAGTTAATAAGTGTAAAGCAGGAGTTCCATAAATGGCAACTATTGTGATTATTAATGTGCCTCCTGACACATATTTCACTAGGACTCGATTTTCAAACTCCTTGAGAACAAGGGTATTTACACTTGCCTTTGTGTCCCTATCTTCATGCTTGATAAATAACATTTTATATATTCACAAATATCAGTCAGACAGAAATTAATGCCTATTTTATGATTTGTCATCAGATTTCCTCTGAATGTTTTATATGTTGCTTAATATGAAAACTAAAAATTATTTAATTCATTCATATTTAGTAGAATCATGACTGATACTATCTCCTTTTTTATTTTACATTTTAATTTATTATTATTTTTAGAAATGCATCACTAATTAAAGATTAAATTGCCCAAGTCTTGGAAATTGAAAAATATAATAAGAAATCTTTTCTTTTTCAATTTTTAATTTTGGGAGTACATAGTAGATACATATATTTATGGATTACATGAGATACTTTGATATAGGCATGCAATGTGCAATAATTATATCAGGGTAAATGGGGTATTCATCACCTCAAGCATCTGTCCTTTGTGTTACAAACAATCCAAAGCTTTTATTTATCTTTAGTTATATTCTTTTTGTTATTTTTAAATGTATAATTAAATTTTTGACTACAATCATCCTTTTGTACCAGAAAATACTAAGTCATGTTCATTCATTTTAACTATATTTTGTACCCTTTAACCATCCCCACTTACCCCCAATCCTCCCTGACACTTCCCAGATTCTGGAAACCATCTTCTGCTCTCTACATTCATGAGTTCAATTGTAATTTTTAGCTCCCACAACTAAGTGAGAACATGTGATGTTTGTCTTTCTGCTGCTGGCTTATTTCACTTAACATCATGATTTCCAGTTCCATCCATGTTGGCGCAAATGACTGGATCTCATTCTTTTTTAATGGCTGAAGAGTACTCCGTTGTGTCTGTGTATCCCATTTTCTTTATCGATTCACCTGCTGATGGAAACTTAGGTTGCTTCCAAATCTTGGCTATTGTAAATATTACTGCAATAAATATGGCAGTGCAGATATATCTTGTCGATATTGTGATTTCTTTTTGGCAGGTATATACCTAAGAGTGGGATTGCTGGCTTGTATGGTAGCTCTGTCTTTTTTGAGGACATGTTTTGTATTTTAAAACAAAGGGCTATAATTGGGATATTTTTCTCAATCAGACAAAATAGCAATATTTCAAAAGTAAAAGCTGAAAGCTAAATGAGACTGTTTCCAAAACATTCCCTAAAGGTGTAGCAGACTAGGGGTAAATCATCCTCTATTTCTTATTGCCTTAATTATCAAGAAAAGCACTAAAAGATAGAAGCCACACCACAGCAGGGGTTGTGGGTAGGTGTGGGGAGAGCCCAAAGAGGCAGGAGGTTTAAAATATTTTCTTTCCTTGGTGATGCTGGAGATTGTGTGTGTGTGTGTGTGTGTGTGTGTGTGTGTGTGTGTGTGTGTGTTGTTACCTGTGTATATCTGTGGCAGTGTGTAGGAGGTTCAACTTCTCTCAGTTCTTGCTTCTCCAAACCTAGAGTTAAATTCTTCATGGCGATGGGAGAGAGGCACTTTTTACTATTGGGACCAATTTAATGTGAACATAGAAACCATGACGCAAATAGGAAAAAGTTGAAAGAAATTAGATTTAATTGTTAATTAGTTTCCATTAAGAAGAACACTATAACAGAAAGTCCTTAAAATCAGAAAATCCTTAGTTCTTAGAACACAGCTGACCTTTAATAATTCCTGAATTTATAATTACTCAGTTAGACTGAGATTTATCTACAATCATCCTTGGAGGAGGAAAGTTTCATGCTTAAACAATTACTAGAGAAACAATGTAGCAGGGAATAGGTTTTAATATTTTAAAACAATAAGTGCCAGAGCCATTGTGCTAAAATATTATTTTAAAATTTATAGTAGTTAATACAGGGAAAAGTCTTAAACTATTTAAAAGACTTTTGAAGTATATTAAACAAAAAAACTAAACATTTAAACTTTTGGTGTTGGGAAGTTTTCCAGAGGGTAATTAATCCAATCTACCCAGTAAGATATTCCACTTTAATCAGCTCTCATTGCTTAACCACATGCATATACTGTAATTTTTTCATGAAACATAAAAGCAATCTGGCATAGAAGAATACTGACACTCCTTGTCTTTGGTATACTGTATCTGTGTTTTCTTTAAACAGGAGGTGTGCTCTGCAGCTTTCCAGTGGAAAGAGTGTGCCTTAGAAGCAGGATATTTCAGTGCAAGTTCAAGTTTGGGCCTCAAATTATACTGTGACCCTAAGCAAGCCACTGTATTTCTGTTGCTTTATCAGCAAATAAGAAAGTGCCCACCTTAACATCTTTTTGAGGTGGTTGCAAGGTTTAAATACAATACAGTATGGGCAAGGCCTTTTGGAAAAACACAAAAATAAGACATCGATCTAAAGCATACTAAAATGTTCAATAAGATAGCTAAGCCTCCTTGGACCACAGGCTGCCTGACTGCTTCTCCAGAGACAAATAAGGTGAACAATTTTTTATGTTTTGTTCCAGAAGCATCCTAAGTATGCAGGTGTGCTTTTACTCAGGCAAGCCGGCTAGATAATGCACCATAGTGGGTAGCGTTACTGCCTTCACTGAGTCACATATCTCATCGGTACATAGAGTTTTGCCTCTTTCTTTCATAAAATACACTCCATGGTATTCCATGGTATTCCATTCCAGGGTTTTGCTAATTCTTTAAGCAGTCCCCACTCATGTATATTTTAGGTTTCTTAAGAGTCTTTTGCTGACTGGCCGCAGTGGCTCACACCTGTAATCCCAACACTTTGGGAGGCCAAGATGGGTGGATCACTTGAGGTCAGGAGTTTGAGACCAGCCTGGCCAATATGGTGGAACCTTATCACTACTAAAAATACAAAAATTAGCCAGGTGTGGTGGCAGGCACCTTTAATCCCAGTTACTTGGGAGGCTGAGGCAAGAGAATCACTTGAATCCAGGAGGTGGAGGCTGCAGCGAACTGAGATTGTCCAGCCTGGGCGACAGAGTGAGACTCCATCGCAATATATATAATATATATATATATAATATATAATAAGATCATTTCTATTAGAACACAGAACTGCAAAAGGACCTTGAAGACAGCGTTGTACTTTCACATGCAAGAATAAAGAATTAAAAAGCAAAGTATCCTTCAGTCTTCACTGTTTTTAAAAAACAACAACAAACACTGGCAGAGGGCTCTCTAGTTCATTAGGCAACTCACAAACATTCTCTTTTTAATGTCACCTGTTTAGTGCTTAATAGCGTCACAAATTCATAAAATCGTAGAACTAGAAGGGACCTTAAAGTTTTGCTATTTTAATCACGTTTTCCAAATACAAATAATTGATGAGACTATTTTTTATATCAAAAAGAGTGATCACAAATTGGATCGAAGGGAAAACAAATTGCACAACTGAGCTTACATAACAGGAAGTTATGAACAAAGCAACAATGTTGTCAGTAAGCAGGCAGAAAAAGTGGAGCCAATGGATCTGAACCCTGGACCAACCTGTAGGAGCTGGTGAGCTCGTAATCTAGAATCACGTTTGTCGTTATCACACCACTCAGTGCATCAATCTGGAATGCTTCTTCTTGGTTGCCAGAGAGAATAGAATACTCAATTAGGCCGTTCAAACCACTGTCCAGGTCAGTAGCAAAAACCTGTGAGGAACCGACTGTCTCATTAGACAAGATTTATTCTGCAACATGGGTTCAGTCTGTTTTTCAGAGACATGCATTGAGAAAGAATCACAGATTGTCAAACACATTTTAAAAACAATGATTAAAAGGAAAGCAAACAACCGAAGCTTACATTTAACTTTATGATCAACTGAGTGATGGGGAAAGTCTTCATCTAAAGAATTTCCAAATAGCTCTCAGTAGAAATAGTACATGTTTTTGATCTATAACTTTGTGCAATAGGAAGAAATATTTGTTAAAAACATCTAAGTTGCTTGAATAGGAGGGTTCCATTAGTGTATATGAATTCATGCTAGCACCAGAAAAGGAAAAAAATGTTAAGGAAAATCTCCACATAATGAGTGATTTTTTTTATTTGCTCTTTTTTATCTGCTTAAAGAATTACCTATAAAGGCTGGGCATGGTGGCTTACGCCTGTAATCCCAGCACTTTGGGAGGTTGAGGCAGGAAGATCACAGGTCAAGAGATGGAGACCATCTTGGCCAACATAGTGAAACCACATCTCTACTAAAAATACAAAAATTAGCTGGCCGTGTGTAGCTTCCTAATCCCAGCTACTCAGGAGGCTGAGGCAAGAGAATCAATTGAATCCAGGTAGCAGAGGTTGCAGTGACCTGAGATTGTGCCACTGCACTCCAGCCTGGTGACAGAGCAAGACTCCATCTCAAAAGAAAAAAAAAAAAGAAAGAAACAAAGAAAAATTACCTATAAAATTGGCCAGGTGTGAATTTTAAAAATATTGTATTTAAAGTTTTCATTTCTTTTCTTTTATTATTTTTCAGATAGAGCCTGCTGGGCTTAAGTCATCCACCCATTTTAGCCTCCCAACTAGCTGGGACTATAGGTGTGCACCACCATGCCCAGCTAATTTTTTTTTTTTTTTTTTTTTTTTTTTTCGGAAGTGGGGTTTTCCCATTTTGCCCAGGCTGGTCTCAAACTCCTGGGCTCAAGTGATCCACCTGCACTGGCCTCCCAAAGTGCTGGGATTACAGGTGTGAGCCACTGTGCCAGGCCCTAAAGTTTCATTTTAAAGGGGTCATTACATAAGTGAAACAAAGCCTAGATTTAGTGCTAACAAATGTAGATCCTGATCATGTATTTGATGAGTTATCAAAGTAGTGTTGAGGATAAAACAGAAGTTTTTACATCATTCTCCATCATTCTGCAATAAACTTTAATCAGTAAACCAATTATGCCTGTGGATTCTCTATCTTCTTTAAGAAAAAGTTGACAAATTAATTAATTACTTTTTACTTTTTTATATTCTCTATGCTCCTGACCCTCAGTCTTAGCTCATTTTCCCTGTCATCTCTCTCCTGGGCTACTATATGAATAGATTTCCTATTGGTTTTTCATTCTAATTTCCTACCCTCTCAATTTATCCTTCACATTGCTGCCAGAGTTCTCAGGAAACCCTGAATGACTCAAGTGCAGTATCCAGGAGCTCATGAGGGGACAGCTCTTGGGGCAGAAAGGCTGCAATATGCAGTTTCCTTTGGGATCACCAAGAAGAGAAACTGGTTGGCATCAAAGTCCACTATGTTCCTTGGAGCCATACACTTAAAAGTGCTACAGAGAATAAATCTGGGTGGTCGATCAGCTACAGTTCTAGCGTCCTGGCAACATATCACAACTAGGGCTAACCACAGCAGGGAAGAAATGTATCAGAAAGACAGTGCCCAGTGAATACAAGAACCTGAGCGGCTCTGGGGAATGTAAAGCACAGCTTCTTTGAGTTGTCATCAAGATGAATCAGCTGTAATTTGTCTCTGTCTTCATGTCTCTTCACCCAAGATTCAAATTTCAAGGAAAGAAAGTCTGTGTGACTGAGAGAGGTGAGGCAGTTCACAACACCTTTGGCGGGGTGGGAGTGGGAGGCAGGTCCGTATCTTGATGACAACCACACCAGGACTGCATCGACAGAGGGTCAGAGCCTCAAAAGAAGTTTGTGGGGCTGTAACTAAAGGAGGGCATGAGCAGTGTGGGGGCTAAAACCAGGAAGCAACCCCCACAATTGATATGAACACCAGAGGCTCTCTATTTCTAATTTTCCAAACAGGACACAGCAGAATGGTAGTGCTAGCTTCCTGGGAATGCAATGACTGAAAAATGGAAAGAACAAAGTTCATTCTATCTGTCCCTGATTCAGCTTTCTACAAATCTGCCATAATTTGAAGTGCCGATGGGTCAGGTGCTCTCTCATTCAGTGCACCTGGGCTTTATATGGGTCTTTGCCTTCACTTATTTCACATTGAGCAATTTAGCTCCATCCCAGTTAGACTGTGGGACAGAAAAGTGCAGTGCTGCAGGGCCCCAGTGTGGGAACACTCTTATGACAAGGTGGCACTAGAGTCACCTGCCATCCCCACCGATCACCATCACTGGGCAGAGATGATAAAGACGGGAAGAGTGAATGTTCTCACTTTCTTCTGAAGCATCTCAGTCATGGCTGAAGCCAGGGTAAAGACACAGCACATCTGGAACAGGCTGGTGACTACAGCAATCAGACTGTTCTAATACAAAATACATCTGCAGTCATAGCTGAGGGGATCCCAGGTATCCTAGGCGGTGTGTAGGGACACAGAGTTAAAACTCCAAGGCAGGTGAGACTCTATTGGTCTTGTTTTCACCAACAGCAGGGATCAAGTGCATCAGAAACTGGAATTGAAGTAAAAGAAAGGAATCCTTGTTTTTTTTTTCTTGAGATGGAGTTTTGCTTGTTGCCCAGGGTGGAATGCAATGGCATGATCTCAGCTCATTGCAACCTCCACCTCCCAGGATCAAGCAACTCTCCTGCTTCAGCATACTGTAATCCCCAAGTGGCAGGGATTACAGGCATTAGCCACCACACCCGGCTAATTTTTGTATTTTTAGTAGAGGAGGGGTTTCACCATGTTGGTCAGGCTGGTCTCAAACTCCTGACCTCAGGTGATCTGCCCACCTCAGCCTCCCAAAGTGCTGGGATGCAGGCATGAGCCACTGTGGGGTCATTTTATGTAGTAAGGTGAAGGTGTCTGCACAGTAAAGAACTGTTGCAGGTCTTGTCCTGAAAATGTGCTAACATGCCATGTAAATGCCTTACCCCAACTAGCCCAGAGGAAAGGGGTGTAATATGCATCAAGTCCTGACCACAGCCATGGCATTCCAGAGGCCAGAGGGAATGGCCATCCCGTGGCTAACTTTGCCTGGAAGTTTGTTTTATACTGATTTCCTTTGCAAAGTCACGGGATGTTGGAGATCTCCTAATTCCCAGTTTCATGACTACAAAAACTCAATTCAATAGTGAAGGGAAAGATGAAACAAGCACTTGTCCTGAGGCAGGCAGAGAAAGCATCAAGGATGGGTGGGTTTTAGAGTGTGAACAAAACTGCCCAGTGAATGGATGCTTGTTCAGGACTTGCAGACTGTTACTGAGACGGGGCTAGTCCTGAAAACAGCAGATCCGTCCACATTTCTGTTCACCCTTGAAGACTTAGCATAAATATCATTCTTTTGTGAAGTCTTACACTTTTCCTCCAGGAAGAGGCTGTGTTTCCTCTTTTCACTCATGACACTAAATGCATACTTCTATTATATTAATAAATGCATACTTCTAGTGCTCAACAGTGCTCCTAGAGAAAGCAGATGTCAGTATCCAAGCATCAAATAAATAAAGAGGAAGAGGCAGTACAAGAATTTCAGATTTTCTTTACCCTAAGATTTTATCCAATCCATAAAATGTTGTACATGCCCTGGAAACACTGAAAATTTAATTTATGTGTTGGACCATTGGCATTAGGTATTTTAAAGTATATTGATTCATCATGATTCATACACACACACACACACACACACACACACACACACACACACACACAAATATATATTTCTGTTACCTGTATGATGCTAGCATTGTAGAATTGGCCTTCAGACACTGATGCTTGGTAGATGCTTTGCTCAAAGCATGGTGAATTATCATTCATATCCTGTATCAAGACTGCTACTTTGCTATAGGCTCTATGCCCGCTACTTTCAGCTAAAACGATGAGCTGCACCTCATTTCGGACTTCAAAATCAAGAAACTTGGGTTCTTTCACAGTGAGTTGTCCTATTTTTATTTCCAAGGAGAAGAAAACAAGAAAATGATGTTGTAGTTATTCTTAAAATGACCCAAAGCATCTTTGCTTCACATGCTAACAGCTCACAGCTCACCTGTCCCACAAAAGCCTCCCACTGGCTGGCCTCCCTTTCCCACCAGCCGGGGTCATTGTGAAAAGAGTTGGGATCTTACAGATGCTTGCAGGGTTCGAACACATAGAGGAAAAGAAACTATGAAATACCCAAACCTGGGAGTGATCTCTCTCCATATCTGGCCCCTGGCCATGTCTGGAAAGTCTACCTTTCAAACATATCTTCACTCCAGCCCTACTGCTACTGCCCTCCTTCCCCAGCACTTCCCACCTTGTCCCCTGCATTAGCCACATAACTGGTCTCTCCCTAATCCAGTTTTCATTCTGAATTTAATAATAATAGTAAAAAGATGCTGACACTGTTCCGCATGAAACTCTTCCATGATCTTAGTATGCATCTGCTCATTGAATGCTTATTAAAAAGTCATCACGCATGTGGTTCCATCAGCCCGGAAAGGCCCCCACAGCTATCCTTCCTCGGGATTTTTCCAGATCAATGTCCCTGTATCATTAGACACCCAAAAGTCTCTTACAAAGCCTTTGCATTTCCTGGCAGCTGCATCATCACTTTGTTAAACTGTTTTTTGTCCTATTATTCCTCTTGTTTATAAGCTCCACACACCATCTCTTACGCACTGTCATATCCCCAGTGACTAGCTCAGGGTCTGACCTCCAGAAGGCACACACTAATACTTTTATGTAAAAAAAGTATTTTCCCCATATAAAAGGCGGAACCACTTTAGGAAAGCAGATTTTTGAGGGTGATGTCATGCTTAAGTTCCCCTCCCCGCAAATTAAGGAACTTATTTCTTCAACATAATTTCCTTCTCTAGTTTTTACTGTTTTTTCCTCTGTTTTACAACAAAATTTCTGACTCAATGTATTATTTTTATTTACTTGGCTTTCACCGTCAGCAAGTTCATCAAGCAGAGAGTTGCTGAATGAACACTAATTTGGAGTTAGAGAAACCTGAAACCAGGCATAAATCCCAGGCCTAGCTATTTACTTTAGGTCAATTACCTAGGTCCACCAACTCCTAATTTTGTGATCTGGATAAATTATGCAGTTGATGTAAAACTGAGTCTCCTTTTCTATAAAAGGGGATGTTAACAATGACTTCACAGGGTGGCTGTGAGGAGCAAGTGACATGATGCATATTTGGAAGGTCTCTTTGTAGTAACATGTAGATTCCATGATGTATGACCCGTGTTTGTCTGCCCCTCATCATCACATATGGATTTAATATCTTTGTGAACTCTGAATTTAGAAAGAGAACGTTTAAGAGCCATAAACTGCTAGAAGTTTGACCCTCTGGTTAAAGAATCTGTACTGTTTCTGGAAATATGGTCTTAGGGCTGCAGCTTTTATTGCTCTATCTGAATCAGCTTCTTCAGATAAACAACCTAGTCCAAGAAACTTGAGGCCATCTGGTAACTGCTTGAATTCTAGTGAGAGGTATACCCTGTTCAAATATTCTACCTTTGCAGTTGGGTGTTTGGGGGGAGATTTTATAGCTTATATTCTGTTAAGAAAAAAAAAACAAATATTTTCAATATTAAGTCACTATACTACCAAATTTAAAATTTCATAAACTCAGTATCATTTTTTGACATCAGATTTAGTTTTCAATTGAGTACTAGAACCAAATTACTTCACAAACACAGTCTGTTGTGACCAACACTCGTGGCAGAAAATTTAGAGTAGCTGTAACTTTTGGCAGCTGGAGAATAATTAAGATGCATTTTGATATGCTGGTGATGAAAGCAGGTTGTCTTCAGAAACCTCCCTGAAACGAAGGCTGATTCCCGCACCCCAAAATGTCACCAGAGCCCGAGTCTGAGGTGGGTCGACAGTTCTCACCCAGGTCTCTTCACCAAGCAGAGCACTTGCCTGGCTATCATGTTCCGTTACTGTTTGTAGAGGAAAAATAGAACAGAAATGTAACACTAAATTACCCATGTCACTGAGTAGAAAGTGTGCCAATTATAGTGGAGATCAAAGTGGATTTTTAATAAAAGGCTTGTGTTTAGGCTTTGATAATTGGAATTTTGCACTTGGACTGGATCTACGGTTCTAATGCTTTCCTTGCATGGTTTTTATTTTGGGGGTAATAACTGGCATAGGCTGTGAAAGTCATATAAGTAGAAAAAACAATAACCAGCCGGTGGGATGATTCAAGGCTGGCACACCTACTAGATCCACATATTTCCTTGGACCATACATGTGTATTTTCGGCAAAGACATCAAGCATGTACTGTCATCAGTGAGATGAAACCACTACTGGACCCTGTCTAATGGTATGAGCAGAAACTAACACCTTCCTTAGAGTAAGAAGCCTTGCAAATAGTAACTTCATGTTCTGGCTTATATGTGAATGTCCCAGTTATGTAATAACTTGAGAACAAAATGGTAGTAACATTTTTCTTCTAAAAAATACATACATTATATAGCTTTTGGCAAAGTTACGAAATACACATCCAAATGAGATCAAGGTTCTTCAAACGCTACATGCTTGATAGCATAATCAGGTTACTTCTATCAATTATATACTGTGTACATGCATCTGTACAAAGCAAAGCAGAATGTGATAAATATTTATGTTATTCAGTAGCTTTCAAACTCTCTCCTACTAAAAGGCTGTCTTTATTGAAAGTTTGATCAGTTTTGTTTTGTGCCACTGTAATAAATACTAAAATGAATGTTGCCATCTGTTATTTACATACAAAACCTTAGTCAAGCTCTAAAATTGCTGCTGGTTTAGACAGTGAGAAATAGATGTTTTTACTCTAAAGTGGCATGAAGTTTAAATACAGAGTCAACTTGGTTTGTGACTATGGAACAGAGGGTAAACTGGCACAAATTGACAGAAAACACAGTTCTCATCAGAGATCTCTCTAATGACAACTTATTACATTAATTACTAATAAAATGGTTTTCTCACACTTTTATTCTTGTTACTATATTGTTAGAGATAAATATTATTGATTTATTATATATGAGTTTTGCATTTAAAATGGTCTATGGTTTAAAATGCATACATTAAGAAAACCTATACAGTTAGATACAATTTTAGATATAATTTTAATGATAATCTGTCAAAGGTAGCATAATAGATGCATTTAATATCATAATTAAAGTTTTTAAAAAAGCTTTCTTGACAGCAGTATGGTAAACTATATACTTGACCAATCCTCATGATAAAAACAACTAAAATGCTTGATAAATTATATATATGATATATATACATACATATACATGCATAGACATGTACGTGTATGTATTAAAATGCATTATTGAGTTGCTACAGTTGTAAGAATTTTACAGAGGACAAAACAGAAATGAAGATAGAAACCCTGAGAGGTTAACAAGCATTAATAGCACATTTTTGTTCCAAAGATTTTTACCACAACCTTCTATCTTAATATTTATTTCTGATAGTTGCATGGGGTGTGGAAAATAAGGTGAGAACCCACAGAAGGTGAAAGGGCTAATAGGAAAAACCAGCATAAAGCTGGAAACTTAAAGGCTACATATATTCCAAATCAGTGGCCATTATAGGAAAAATGAAACAACACTGAAACTGAAGCAGAATTTGCAACATGGACATCACTGAAATGTGCTGAAGTGTTTCAAATTGGGTAGATATTAAAGGACAAAATTATGAATATAATCCTCAGATGGAATGCAGCATCAAAGTCACTCATGTGATCTCAGAAGAATTATAATCTATAGCAATAGTGATGAGTTAAAAAGAAAGAGACTACAATTTCTAATTACAATGTTCTTCCAAAAGGCTTTGGCCAAAAAAATCACCAACTATCAAGATCTCCAACCACTGACATTGTCTGCTTATGACATCCAACTGTTGATATCGTCACAGCTCCGTGATCCAGAATCACCCAAATCAAATGATCTTCCTTCATCTGATACACAGAAACTTGACTTTTTTTTTTTTTTTAACCGTGGTGTTGATTGAAAGGGAGACAAAAAAAAAAAAAAAAAAAAAAAACTTATGTGTTAGTTTAAGCCTGACTTAATGACCTGATAGCTATACTATCAAAGTTACATATACTTTTAAAACTCTTAGGAATTAAATTTAAACTAGCTTCTCCCAGATGATTCTCCAGGTAAATTGCAGAAAAGAAAGCAAATCCTCCTTTAAGGGCACATATTCAGCTGAGGCTTCAAAGAATCCTCAAAGGGCTTTCAAGGATAATGAGTAGCTCATAGTCTACAAGCACAAAAGTCATAGAGAAACAAGGAACCATAAGTGACAGCAAGCAAACCCATAGACAACAGAACCAAACCTTCAAAGACTTCAGATGTAGAAATCGTTGGACACAGAAGTATTACATATGTTTAAATCAAAACCTTGGAAATATGAGCAAGGAACAAAAAGCTATTTTTCAAAGGCAAAGAAGAGTTGAAAAAGAACCCAACAGAACTTTGGGAAATGAAAAATACAATTCCCTAGAATGAAGAGAAAAACAGATGAAAAAATATAAAAAATAGATGTAAGAGAGAGTCACAGAGCCCAACATTTGTCTAATGGTAGTTCCAACAAAAGATACTAATGAATGGCGTTTAGATCAACAGCTGGCTTCTTAATGCAACAATGGGATGCCAGGAGACAGTAGAATAATATCTTACTATGATGAGAAAAAATAACTGTGAAGCTAGAATTAATTACAAGACCAACAAAAACTATTTTAAAAGCAAGGATTGAATAACTGTATTTTTTGACTATCTAAATCTGAGAGAGCTTACTATACAAATCCTCACTAAAGGAGATAGTTCAAAAAAAAAAAAAAGAATACTAGAAGAAAAGCTGAGATGTAAGAAAGAATGGTTAGCAGAGACATCAGCAAGGAGGCAGCTAAATCGACTGAAAAATACTAATAATGTCTAATTTGAAAGAACTAAAATTGTGGTCAAAAAAGCAGGTAAATCGAAATAAGAGTACTTGGAGATCAATCATTGCAAATCTCTTGTATTACTCAGGAAGAGAATATTGATTAATGGTGGACTTTATATATGTTAAAATAACTAGGCTAGCCATTGAAATAGGAGAAATAACTATATAACTTCCAACAGGGGAAAGTGGTCATTTTCAGATATGATTGTATGTGTCAAATATACAGAAAAATGTCAGTCTCTAGTTTGTACCTAGCAAATTTGCTAGATACAAAATCAAAAGAGAAAAGTCAGTTTGAAATATATACACGAAGCACTGTTAGGAAAGGCATTTTTTTTTTCATCTACCGTAACAAGAAAAAGTACGAAGTACTTAAGCTAAATCTAACAAGAGATATGCAAGCCGGTATATTTCATTCTTTGCTATTCCTCTTTAACATGGAATTGTTTGCGCACTATAAGTCATAGTAAAAATGTTGAGCAAAGAAATTAAGTCATAGCATAGTACATAGCATGATTCTATTATCATGCTTAAGTTAAGGTAAAAGTAAAAGACATGTTGTTTAAAAATTGAAATGTAGTGGAAAAATTATAACAAAAAAAGTCAATGATTAGTAGGGTGCAGTGGCTCACGCCTATAATCCCAGAACCTCAGGAGGCCAAGGCAAGAGGATTGCTTGAGTTCAGAAGTTTGAGGCCAGCCTGGGCAACATAGAGAGAACCTCTCTTCATTTATGAGAAAAAAGAAGCCAATGATCAATACAAATTCAAGTTACTAATTATTTCAGGAATAAAAGAAGAGAGACATGAAGTGATGTGTATGTTAACTGGCTCAATTCCACAATGTATGCATATTTCTGAACAACAACAATAAAAAAAGACAGGAAAAAGGAGATACAAAAAGGAAGGGGCACACAAGAGACTTTCCAAAGTTCTAGTACAGTAGTAGTTCCCCCTTCCCTGTGACAGCTGTATTCTGAGAACCCCAGTGAATGTTTGAAACTTGGATGGTACCAAACTTTATATATATTATGCCTTTTTCTGTACATGCATATCTATGACAAAGTTTAATTTCTAAATCAGGCACAGTAAGAGATTAACAACAATGACTAATAATGAAATTGAACAATTATACTGTAATAAAAGTTATGTGAATGTGGTCTCTCTTGCAAAATATCGCATTATATTGTAGTCATCCTTCTCCTTCTTGTGATGATGTGAGATAACAATATGCCCACATGATAAGGGAAAGTGAGGTGAATGACATGGGCATTGTGACACGGCAGTAGGCTACTATTGAACTTCTGATGGTATGGTAGGAGAAGGATCATCATCTGCTTCAAGTGGTCCTGGATCACTGAGCCACGATGATGTAGATGGTTGGATGTCAGAAGCAGATGATGTTGATGGTGAGGAGTCCTTGAGATTTGCATTTTTTTTTTGCCAAAACTTTTTGGAAATCATTGTAATCAAAGCTTGTTACTTTTTAATCAAAGTGTTGATATGGAGGTTATAATCCGTCTATGAACATATGGGTGACTTCAGTGCTGTAGTTTATCTGAAGACTGTATTCTATAATTTTATATTTTCATATCTGTGTGATTTGAAACATTTCAGCAAATTTCAGTAATGTCTACATTGTTGGTTCTGCTTTAGTTTCTTCTTTGTCTTCCCTTTCTCTGTAGATGACTCAAAAAGTTCTTCCTCATTTATTAACACTTCTCAATGGCCTTCAATAAGTTCTACCTCTTCATCAAGCATGTCAACAAACCCTTCTCCAACAACTTGTCTTGCTGTGTGAATTATTTTCCTAACTTTTCCATCAATCCCCAGGAAGCCATTAAAATTACTCATGACTTCACTATAGAAGTTCTTCCAGCAGGCATTTACAGCTTCTGGTTTTAATTCGTGCATTGCAGCTTTGATTAATATTACTGCGTCAGCAACAGTGAATGATTTCCAGCATTACATTATGTCCAGACTATGGTCTGCCTCAATTAATGGCTGATCAAATGTGAGCAAATATCAGGCAGGTGTGTGACCTTGACAAACCAACTGCTCAAGGGGATGAAGCATGGAGGTTTTATTTGAAGGTAAAAATACAATCTATTTTCATAGGATGACCACGTGCATTGTCTAAAACTAATAGAACTTTGAATTCCAACCCTTCCTCATTCAAGTTTTTTTTCACTTCTTGGATGAAGGACTGGTAGAATCATTCCATAAACAAGATGTGTGTCACCCATCCTTTCTTTCTATGTTACCAGAACACAGGCAGATTATTTTTTTGTTTTAGAGAGGATGTGGGTTCTTCACTTTGTGTGCTACCTTGATTTTATCGTATGTACTACAGTGTTGCTGCACAGTACCAGAGTTCATCTGTCCTTCCATGTTTTACACCTTGTTGCTTCCTTTGTGCTTTTATGAATGTAGGTACTATTGGGCATCTTCTTCCTGAAAAGCCTAGTTTTACTGCAATTAAAGATTTGCTTTCAATGGTTTCCTTTCTCCTTACTGACTTCAAGTTTTTCAGAAATGTGGCAGCAACGTTTTCGTTGTGTTTTTCAGTCCAAACCTGTTTCCAAATCTGTGTAACCATCTCTTACTTGACGTAAATGGCTTAGGGTCACTGATTTCAGGGGATTCCTTGTGAAGTCTTCATTGAGGGTTCAATGCTTTCTGGTGCAACGTTACTGTCAAATTAAACACGTTTTATATTCAGGTCTTCCACCTACAAATTTAATGCTTTTTCCCTTCTTAACTAAGCATTTACCATGCACTGTGGCCATGACTTTTGCATTGTGAGGTGCCATAGCAAAACTAGCACAAATTTCTTTTTCTTTCTTTACAATTTCACAGGTAGAATATTCCTTATCTACAGTAGTATAGATCTTAGCAACCTCAGTAAACAATCTTTTCTCTTTTCTTATTAAATCGAGAAGTTTTACTTTTCACTTCCCCTCCCTTGGAAAAATCAAAAACACTTTTCTGCTTCTTTTTGGCATATCCAAATTGCCAGAATACTACACTTGTGCTTTGGGGTCATTATTAAGTTACCTAAGAGTGACATGACTATAAGTACTGCAATATGCAACAGTGAAACTGAGAACTGAGACAGCTACTGAGTAGTAGGCAGGGAGCACGTACAGTGTGGAGACCCAGGACAAAAGGAGGATTTACTTCTGGGTGGGTTGGAGTAGGATGATGTGAGATTTCATCACACTACTCAGAATAGTAAGAAATGTAAAATGGATACATTGCTTATTTCTGGAGCTTTCCATTTATATTTTTGGGCCATGGTTGACCATAGGTAACTGAGCCTGGAGAAAGGGAAACTATGGATAAGGGGGGACTACCATCATGTGTGTGAATTTTTATTTTACCATTGTCCATTAAATAGTCTTTCACATTTCAATATACCATCTGGCAGATATTTCACAACAAAATTTTAAAATGCAATGTAAATAAATTACCTAATCAAAAAATAAAACTGTTCCTGTGAATGACCTCTTTGGACTGATCCTAAGAAGATTTTATCTGTATTTTAATGATGGATGGTAGAAGAAGTAAAACCAGGTCTAGGCCATGTTAGAGTGCGGTGGCAGAGGGTCAGGCTAGCTTGGGAAAATATGCCAGCTATGCTACTCTTCATTCTTCCTAAGCATTCTGATGTGGGCTTCTTTCCCTGAACCCTCAGACACCTGGACTACAAGAAAATTAAGACTTGGTAATGTTCACAAATGACCCTTTTGTGAACAGGCTTCCTAACCCATCCTTTAATGCAACAATGGGATGATGAGATCAAGACTTCTAGCAGGCTACCACAGAAAGGTTGCTGACCAAAGTCTGTGTGGACCAAAAGGTCATAACAACACCCTGGATGACCGGACATTTACCTAAGGAATTACCCACTCTCAATTCTTCCCAGGTGCATTTGGTATAGATTAAATAAGGCACTTGTATGGCAACATAGACATTATTAGAAACATTATTCTTGAATTCTGACAACAAAGCAGTAGATGTTTATCTACTACAGAGCTGTTAGTGAAAAAAAAAAGTATGTTTGAAATAAACAATTGGTATTCATTTAAAACAGTAATGGTTGTATTGAAGCTAAATTTGATACATGCTGTATTTGGAAGTAATTTCTTTACTGCTGTATAGAAACCTTACCAGCTGTCCTTTTTTTTCTGTTGCGTTGTTGGCATTCAGTGGCAAATTACAAGAATCTCTGATGAACATTCCTTACGGCTAGACATGTATGCTTATTTTGAATTCAGGCTCAGTGTCAATGATCTCAGTACTGTATCTCCAATTATCCCAAATAGATGGGTAAATTGTAAGTGGAAACTAATTTTTATTCAAAAGTTTGAAGGGGAGGATAGGCACTGTCTAATTTGGAAATATTAAGAATACACTTCTTAGTGAATATAAATAGATAAATTAATTAAATAAATAAATAGTTCTTGATTTCCCATAATTTATCATAGGCCAGCTTTAAAAATTCTTTCTTGCTTACTTTTTAAACTGTTCAGCTCTGATAATTTCTACTTTGCAAATTTTGCAGAAATAACACTAAATGAAATAGAAAATAAAGCTATTATAGGTTAGAGAAGTATTACCTGAGTTAGAGCACAGGGAAAGAACTCCATCTTCATTTCCACTAAAAATGGAATATTTCATGCTGTCCTGTATTGAGTCAGGAGCAAAAGCTTTTACAGTTACAATAGAAGTACCTGCAAAAATTAGGTAAAAGAAGAACTCCATTAGGATTAAAAAAAAAAGCCATGGAAACACAAGAAAAAACACTGATTATTTATTATTTGCCTACTGTATTTTCACTTGTTCATTTATTCAACAATTACTTATTGTCTTCAATGAGCCAGATCCCATGCTAGGTGCTGGGGCTACACTAGCAAACAAGATAGAAAACCTCTCTGTCCTCATGTTGGTTATTAACTGGTGTAAGGAGACAGCCAATAAACCATTAAAACATACATAATCATGGAAAAGTTTCCATTGTGCCAGGCCCCTAGAAGGAGAGAAATAAGGTTACTTGATAGCAAGTACCCCTTTTTCAGGGGAAGCACCAGACTTTAGAGTGGTCTGGGCACAGTAAAGGATGAGAAGCCATAGAAAGAGCTGGAAGAAGAAGATTCTGGGAAAAAGAGCCACCACCACAAAGGCTGTGGGCTAGGAAAGGGCTTGGTTGGGTAAAGCACAGTGAATAGAGGAAGAGGCAGAAGATGGAGGTGGCAGGGTAAGCGAGAGTCAGATTTTATTGTAAATGCAAAGGGAAGTCATGGGAACATTTGAAGGAGTAGAGTAAAATATGATTTACTTTTTAAAAATATCACACTAACTGTGAGAACAGAAAAAAAGAGGGGTAAGAATGGAGCAGAGAAACCAATTAAGATAATATTCCAATAGTCCAAGCAGAAGACAAGGACTTAGGACTGTGGGAGGGGAGATGGAAAGACATGGACAAATTAAAGACATTTGACACACTGCCCCAAACATTGGAGGTGGGAGTGGGAAAGGAGGCTATAGGGCCATAAAGAAAAGAAATATTCCCTCATGCAGCTTCTGATCTAGTTGTAGGTAAAAGCAACCCAACGACTTAACTGCAAGACATGCAGTCATTCAAGAATTGTTCAGAGAGATTTGAAACAGTCAAGAGTTAACTTAGAAACAGAAATTCAGTTCAGTATAGGATTTGGAAAGACAAAAGAGAAGCAAGTCATTTTAGGTTATGAAAACAGACTAAATGCCAACATGAAAGAAGAATTAGCAAGGATAGAGGCAAGAAGACAATCCTCGTAATAAGATCTAGAACCAAATAAGGCAGGAGTGGGGAATAAATTTAAATAAAAAGTATAAATATAATTGGAAGAAGGGTTAAGAGAGGTAGGCAAGAGAATGGGAGAGCTTGAGAGCCAGGGAGAAAGTGTAGCTTTATGTCAAGAATCAGCAAATTTTTCTGTCAAGGGCCAGATAATAACTATTTTAGGTTTTACAGGTCACACAATCCTGTTGCAAATGCTCAAATCTGCTATTAAGTAGTCACAGACAATGCATAACCAAGGGAGTGTGGCTTTGTTCCAATAAAACTTTATTTATTTTATTTATAAAAATAAGTGGATGAGCAGATCTTCACTTTGTGTGAGGGGAAGCAATGAAGAAATGCAAAATTTTTGAGAGGATTGATATAAGAGAAGATCCTGAGTGCCTTTAAGACAAACTGGGTAGGTCAGCTGTCTGTATGGGAAGCTCTGAGGCAAAAAGTCATTTACAGCAGCTGGAAGGGTCCCAAGGATTCAGTTGGTCCCCAACTTAGTACTTCAATGTCCTTGTAATATTCTATGTCCTTTGCTGCTCATCCTATCCTAGTTGTTCATGTGTCTCCCTCCTAGGATTGACTGTCTTATTTGTAAAAGTATTTTTCACTTAATCAATTTCATTTATATGAAATTTACATACAATAATATGTACATATTTTAAATAAGCACTTCTGTGAATCTTCAAAACTACATACACATGTGTAATCAGTATCATGATCATAGAATATTTTCAACACCTCAGGATGCTCTCTTATGCCCTTTTACAGTTTTCTCTTACTTGGGCCCCAAGAAATCACTGATCTGCTTTTTATAACTCTAGATTAGTTCTGCCTCTTAAATTTCATATGCTGGTGAATTATACAATATCCAATTTCTTTTGCTCAGCATAATTTTTTGAGAATCAAGCATTTTATTTTGTGTATAAAAATTCATACAATTGTTATTGCAGAGTTGTAGTCTATTAAATGAACAAACCACAATTTCTTTTTCATTACCTCTGAATAGGCATTTGAATTGTTTCCAGTTTTTGGCTATTACAAAAAGAACTGCTATGAACATTCATAGGCAAGTGTGTGTGTGGACCCATGTTTTCAGTGCTCAAGGGTAAATACCTATGATAAGTATACATTTAACTTTATAAGAAACTGCAAAACTATTTTTCCAATATGATTGTATCATTTTACATTTCTGCTAACATGTGAGAATTGCAGTTGCTCTATCATATGGTTTGGCTTTGTGTCCCCACCCAAATCTCATCTCAAATTGTAATCCTCATAACTGTCATGTGTCGAGGGAGAAACCAGGTGGTAAGTGATGGGATCGTGGGGGCAGTTTCACCCATGCTATTCTTGATAGTGAGTGAGTTCTCATGAGATCTGATGGTTTTATAAGGCAGTTTCCCCTGTTCTTGCTGCTCTCTCTTATCTATTGCCATGTAAGGCATGTCTCTTCCCCTTCTGTCATGATTATGTTTCCTGAGGCCTCCCCTGCCATGCAGAACTGTGAGACATTTAAACCCAGTCATGGGTAAGTATCTTTATAGCAGTTTGAGAACAGACTAATACATCCACATTGACTGGTATTATGAATCTTTTAAATTGCAGCCATCTTAGTGGATATGTAGTAGTATCTTACAAGGGTTTTAATTTTAAGATGTCTGATGATATTGAGCCTCTTTTCCTGTGCTTATTGTCCACTTCCACCCCTCTTTTTAATTCATCTTTGTTCCTTAGCCTCCTGTTTCCTACTCACCTTCCATTTCTGAGAAACTTCCTCATGGTTCCACTTTTACAGTATTGGTGGGAATATAAGCAAGTACAAACACTATGGAAAACAGTGTGCAGATTCCATAAAGAACTAAAAATAGATCTACCATTTGATCTAGCAATTCCACTTCTGGGTATCTACCCAGAGGAAAAGAAGTCATTATACAAAAAAGATACCTGTGTATGCATGCTTAGAGCAGCACAATTCACAATTGCAAAAATATGGAACCAGCCCAAATGCCCATCAATCAACAAGTGGATTAAGAAAATGTGGTGTACACACACACACACACACACACACACACACACCATGGAATACTACTCAGCCATAAAGAGGAATGAAATAATGGCATTCATAGCAACCTGGATGGAATTGGAGACTATTATTTTAAGTGAAGCAACTCAGGAATGGAAAACCATTGTATGTTCTCATTCATAAGTGGGAGCTAAACTATAAGGATGCAAAGGCATAAGAACGATACAATGAATTTTGGGGATTTGTAGGAAAGAGTGGGGAAAGTGAGGAATAAAAGACTATACTATAGGTACCATGTACACTGTTTAGGTGATAGGTGCACCAAAATCTCAGAACCACCACTAAATAACTTATTCATGTAACCAAACCTCACATGTTCCCCAAAAATCTGTTAAGATAAAAACTTAAATTAAAAACAAAAATCCAAATATGTATACATAGAAAAAATTACATAAATATAATATATATATTCTAAAAAATAAAAGAAAGAAACTTCCTCATAGTTCCTTACTGGCCTTAGTCCTCTGATTTTAGGTCTGTAACTATTCTAGACTATCAATTTTGTAATGACTCTACTTTTTCACTTACTGTCATTCTGTCCCACAGGATGACACTTATTGTTCAAAGCATGAATGCTGTCCTGACTGGGGAGAGATGGATAGGAGGTAAGGCTATAGAAGTCTACCCTGCTGCTGGGTACACTGTCACAGAGACCATGTATAAGACAGTGGTAACAAGTTGCAAGAGAAAAGTAAGAGGAAACATTTAAAAGGAATAGGAGCTGATATGGTCAGAGAGGAGTAGGGAACAGGACTCATCATCCCATATGCCTTTGGGTAAAAGCAAGAAGCATGAGCAAATGAAGAGATCAAATGGTAAAGGAGGCCAGAAAGTGTCTCAGATACTCACCGTCAGCCTATTGCTGCCAGCAGGGAAGGGAAGCTTCAGGATACTGAAGATTCTGTGCTTTTCAAGAGAAGCTCAAAATTTTGTATTTATTTTTATTTGAAATTTCTCGATTTCTAAGTGTTGAAAAATAATTTAATTTATGGGGGAAATCTCACTATATTGGTTAAACAAAACACAGCTGTAGTCTGCTTCCAATTCTGAGTTTTCTTGTTTACAATCTCTGATAGAGAGGACAAATCTCTTCTCTTTCGTTACCAGCTCTTTTGGCACTTAGATTGTGCTACTAATTTGTCATCTAAGGACTTGTACTGAACATAGCTGAAGACTGATTTCAACTCCCTGCTTAAATTGGACTAAGTTCCATGACAGCAGAGGAAATGTTCTATATATTTGTATTGTATATATTTTATAATTCTATGTTAGTTAAGCTTTAAAAATTTCATATACTTGTGAATCTTACAGTATCTGACATCTTTTGCTCAGTACAATTTTTCAAGAATAAAACATGTTGTTTTGTGTAGCAAGTTTATTTCTTTGTATGTAGTAGATGCTTAATGAATATGAGAAAAAAGGAGGTTAAAAAGGGAGACAGAGGAGAAAGGACACTGACATTTTCTAGCATGAGAGATTAGAAAAATCCTGGTCTCTGCCTACAGGACCACTGTAGGCCAGCAGCAATTATTTTTTAAGTAAAAAAAAAAAACTTTTTTTTTTCAAATAACTCGCTGCTATAATACCACATCTGACAGTGAGATTTGCAGTAGTTAAAAACAAACAAAGAAAACAACAACAAAAAACCACCTATTCAAGATCTTTGCTGAGCCATCTCATTAAACCCTGATACACAGGCCCCAGATATCACAGCTTGAAACCCATCTTGCTAGAGGTAATAACAAAAATGACACCTAAACCAAGCCAAATTGATATTTTTCTGGATTTGTAACAGGATTTCACTGAAAAGAGCA